TGAAACACTACTCGGTAAATTTTATTTTGCTTTTGGCTACAACTCAATGTCATAAAACTTCTGAATTAAACTACTTTGGTGTTATGTCATCGAAATTGTATAAAAAAAAAACCTTTCTAACAAATCAACATGAATATTGAGCATTCAACATAAACACCATAGTTGGCCTAAGAACAATCGAGTGATAATTTTGTTGCTAAGCGACAATTTATATTGTTGAGCATTACCAAAAAAGGAGCGTGAAAGCGTTCTCGACAGAGTGACAAAGGGAATAAGCCTTTTACAGTTAGTGATTGACAGGTTGATCTTTAGCTTCGCTTGAAGTACATATCTTGCTCTTACTGGAAGGTAATGTTACTCATGTCTGAAAGTGAAAATGAAAAAGTAATTATATTTTTATCTCAAATTTGAAGTGAAGGGTGATATTAAATTTTTACATTATTATAAAATGTTCTCGTTAACGTTTATATCTGAATACAGGTTTGTTATTTTACCTTTATTGTTTAAATGTTTTTTTTTTCATTTTATATTTAGCTGTAAGGGCTCTGTTAATTGTGATATTTCTTGATTCTGTTGAAGTTTGAAAAATAAAATCATTAACTCTTTATTCCTATATTACTTTAATTTTACTTCATGAAATCGTTATTTTTTTCTATTCTTACAAGTTATCTAAATTGTGGATAATTTTTTAGTAATTTTTGATAATAATTGCTATTATGTTAATTATTTGCTTTCTAGTATTTTAACTGTAAGCTAGTTTTGAAAATTGTTATAAAAAAGTTAACTGCAAGCGTTTTTTTCCACATTCATTTTAGTTTATCCACTACTTTTGAAACTAGGTTTTTTGTAAAAAAAATAACCTTTCGGATCTGTCTTTTGTCTCCCACAAGTCCACTGCCCAATAAGCTTTTCGTTCAGTAACACTTAACAGTTGGACTGGAATATCCAGGTTTTGTTTGTTTGTTATTAGTTAGGTGGATTTGGAAGGCTTCGTATATTTTTCTAGTGTGCGATTTATATCCTATTATTTCATCCTTATTCCACTTTATTGCATGGTCTTCTCTGGCATGATGATCAAACATAGATCGATCAGTATTTCTAAGTCTTCTTTGTCCATTATGTTCCTGAATTTTAACTTTGCTTGGTTTGTTTAGTTCTTCATATAGTGGGATTAATGTAAATGGTTTTGTTATTCTTTCCATTGGGTCTAGATAGTTTGATGTGTACTAACTGCGATTGTATTACATTGTGACATCTTGATACTGTTTATATATAGTGCTGATAGCATAATTTAGTTGGTTTTTTTAAACCTATTACAGAAATACCTATTTATCTTTTCATAACTTACAAAATACTTCATTTCTGCCATTTTATTTCATATCTAATTTTTTTTAATAGGGAGTACTGATTTGACTCGATTAAGTAATATATTAAACTATTGCTCAATATAAACACCTAATGTGTCACTGATAAACCGCAATGTTTTACACACGCACACACCGTAAGATTTGTGAGTGTTATTTATGGTTAATGCCTTAGTAGAGTGATTGTTCAAATCTGTGAACTGTATAATTTTCCTCTTTGTTCCCCAGTTTTCATTAATTACAACACCTATCTCCATCTCTTACTTTTCGTCTACCGTTTTATACGTTTTTGTATTTTGTCGGTTAGGTTTATTACTTTTTGTTTAAACGTAAACCGCTTAAATTATATTTTAACTGTGCAGTGCCTTTTCAGCTTCTATCCATTTTATAGCTTTTCAACTAGGAAAATAAAGTATTTCCTGGTAATTCTTTGTAGATCTGTCACGTTTTAAAGATAAACAATCTAAATCTTACAATTTCCTATTTTTTTAAATACTTTTTTCGTGTGTGACGTAAGTAAGGTTTTGTTTCTTTGGATAATTTGCATTGATATTTTCAAAATAAGAAAAATGGTACATCTTTTAGCCTGTTCTTTTCCTCGTTTTGAGAAGGATTCATAGATATTGTACAATTGATAACATTTCACATTTTCTAAAAATCTCTTGTACTTACTCAAAGAACTAATTCATAACATCCGAACTTAATTTTTGAACATCATTCGCTATCATTGTTCTACCCTACTCCACTATTACTTGTACCTAATATTGCGATACGTTCATTACGTGTTTCGATGTTTTTAACATTTACAACTATATTTCAACATTGTTTTTCTCCAACATTTATATGTTAAGTTCTAAAGTTTTAATAAATAGTTTTGAAGAATATTTAATTGGAGAATGGTTCGTCTATTTTTCTTTACGACGCAACAATCATACAGTTAACGTTGTTTTTTTCGTTTCATCTTCCTTTTCTCTTCAAAATACCAGTTCGTTGCCCTTTTTTTAAATGTTATTTTACGGTACATGAATTAATTATGTTGCTTCTATGATGTAAGTTAATTTTTAAATACTTTTTTGTTTTAGTTTTTGTACAGTGTTGGTTTTTGTTTACTCCCCTACTCGTAGGCTAGTACTCCAAGACTGCCCACACGTTTCACGTTGAACTAGGTAGTAGCTGCCCGTTTCACTTTTGTTTGTTCATCATGAAGGCTCTGCCTAAGTCAACTACATATATTTATCGCACTTTTTTACCTGTCAAATCAATAATGTAACCATATTTATCTGAGTTATATTTCTGAACAAGAATCTTATGCATTCCTATAGCACGTTTTTTTCCTATCAAATCATTAATGTTACCATACTTATCCGAGTCATATATATAGATAATTCCTGTCTAAATGGTGATTTATACTCTCTTGTCTTACATTTAGATCTGAAAACACAGAACCTATTTCTAACAAGTACTGGCATAGTTAAGATCGGAGACTTTGGGATAGCTCGGTTTTTGAAAGGAAACCAAGACCTTGCTACAACAGCTATTGGCACTCCTTACTATCTATCTCCTGAAATCTGTCAACAAAAACCGTATCCTTAAGCTCAAGTGTTGTTTATGCTATTATGGTTATTTCCAATATATTTAACGGACTTTAAAGCTGGTGACAAATGAAGCAGTCTTTAATATTATTATACAGTGTTTGTTCTCCGATAGATTTGTATTAATAGGAAAAGATAAATAGCTCATCCCAAGGCTTCCCATTCTGAAGTAATTATATTTGTTGATTCTGTATATAATTGATAAGTGCATTATAGTTTAAAGATGTACCAACAATGATCTTGGAAGAAATTTGAAACGCTAACAATTCCGTGATGTCTTTAAATAAACAATATGTTGGCAACTTTGCGCAGTATCTTTAAATTGTTTATTTATAACTAGCTGGAGTGCCCGTCCCCTGGACGGAAGTTATGTAAATTCATGATTAATGAAAGTTTATCTTAGGACGTGAAAAGTTGCTTCCCTTATATGTAATTGTAAAAAAACGTAAAAATGCTCATAAAAACTGCAAAACACCAAATGTGAAACCGC